AATCACCTACAATGAAATAGTAGGCCATTTCCACCATTTTGAAATAAGTGGAGGAGAATTGACCACTTTAATTAAAATTTTTGGGTAACTAAATTTTCATCACCCTTGTATTTTATATATAAAAGTTTTAAATATTGTATTCCATATATATAAACACATTTAAATATTGTATCCAAAATACGCTTGTCTTCTTCCAAAATATGTCGTATTCTTCCTTTCTTTCTCTAAAAGCTTCATCAGCTTCCATTAATGGACTCTCCAATGACTCATCGTAACTTTTGAACTTCAAAACTTCACTTCAAAACCCAAACACACTCCAAAAACCTATGTAATTTCACTAAAGTATTATGCAGAAACTCCATGGTATCATCCACAAATCTAAGCTTTGTTCATATAAATCTCGATTTTTGGTCTGTTTATTCTTATCTGATTAAAGAGCACAAACATCACTGGTTCGCACTCTTTTTAGTAGAATTTTGTTGGGATTTTATGTAATACACCGTAATTTTAAAGAGTTTTTTAAATTAATTTTGTGTTAGGTTAATTCTTTAATGTGTAGATTTATTCACCTTTTAATTATATATGTTAAATTATTTAATTAATTTTATTTATTTGTGCATGTAATATTGATTTTTTTTTTGTTCTATATATTATAATGATTAGTTGAGACATTTTATTGGTTATGTTTTAGATTAATTAATATTATTTAATTAAAGTATTTAATTTGTATTTAATAATAATAATAATATAATAATAATAACATTTATAATAATAATTATTATAATAGTTTATTAATAATAAAAATAATAATAATATTTATAATAAATAATAATAGTATTAAATCAATGTAATGATGAAGAAATTAAATCTTAGGATAGGATTTACCTTAGGACATCTTGCTTGACTTGGCTTGCTAGCCTTAAAGCCTTATGGTTGGGAATATGGTTAATTAAATGCAAAAATAGATATTTGTAATATTTAAATTATATAAGTTATCTATATATAGAAGTTAGCCCTTTAGTTGAGGATTCACATAAGTTGAAGAAGGAAATAATAAAAGTGAGTTCTTGTATAAGACCGAAAGGAAAAGAGAGAAAGAAAGGAGCCTGAACCGGTGTAGGGAATTTACCCGATTACGCGCAACCGGCGGATTTATTTTAAATCCAAAAAGGCAAGTTATTATCTACTTTTCCCCTTTGAGTCCATAAATTATTCATTACATTTATTCGGCTATTTTTTTTGAGGTTAGAAACCATGTTAGGACAATGAGAAATTAATTATTTAATTTATTAAAATAATGAGATATTAATTATTTAAGGGTTAAATAATTTATTATTAGCCTAGGTAATTATTTGAAACTTAGGAAATTGTTATTTAAGGCTTTAGAATTTTTTCTAGAATTTTTGGGCAATTTTCGGAATTTTTCTGTATTTTCCGGCGACCTTCCGACGAGTTTTCTGGTCGCCGGCAATGGGGGAGATGACCGGAGTGATCCGGTGTGATGCGGCGCAATATAGGAGGGTGTGCGCGCGCATCCTGGGCCTTAGATGAAGATGATTGATTCGGTGCATCGCGGTCCATGTTACCGCGGTACACCCGGATCTATGAGCATAGGATTGAGTGATGAGAGGGTGAGATAATTCAGTGTAGCGCGCCCATAGTAGGATGATGCAGCCAACGAATTAGGACGAGCCACGTCATCAGGATGCATTAGTGCGCGCGTGGGAGCGCGTGCGCGCGCGTGGCTGATGCCAGACGCGCGTGGAGGAGCGTGGGAGAGTGGGAAAGGTTGGGCTGCGCGTGGGGAGGCTCTGGGAGGCGCTTGAGGGCGCGTGTGGGGTCTCTACAGCTGCTGGAAATTACCAGAATACCCCTAGGGCCTGTTTTGTAAATTCCAGAACCTTAAACTTGGATTTTTAGGTACTATGTTGGTATTTACGGGTTTAACGGGCCACGAAATTATTATTTTAATACCCGTTACTTATTCTTATGGCCGATAAATCTTTTCTAAGCATTTATTGGCTCGTTCACAGTACGGATACTAATGTGATTTATTTAACGACATTGTTAAATATAAATAGTGTTATTATCTTATTAAATGGTATCAAACATTACTGTTAAATTAAATAATGCCATGGTTTTAGTCAGATAAATTATCCATGATATCTTATGGGATGTTTATACTGTTAAATGATATATAAACCATGATTATTATGCTGTGTGCATTTCCGGAAATAAATGGACTGTTTAATTATGTCGCATTTATATTATATGGATGTGTTGCCATATAGAACCATATGAGCTGGCTAATAAGTTTAGACTCATTTATACCTTATGCATTCGTTGCTATAGACAGATGTGTGGCTGTCGGGGTATGTGGTTTAATATTATTGGCATGTGTTGCCTAATTGACATGCTCAGTATATTTAGTAATATTATTGGCATGTGTTGCCTAATTTATATGCTCAGTATATTCATCAGTACTTTGAGAGGTGTTATCACGGTGTAGTTCGTTATAGTCTGTGTTGTCAGTACCGTGCACCATGTATAATAGCTGATTTTCCGGGTAGGGAAAAGCGACACTTAACCACCTAGTGTGAGTCTAAGTGATCACCGTCTATTCTGGTTGAGGTCATGTTATACCTTGGATAGTTCCCTTAGGATGTATACAGATATAGTACTCATCCGATTCATAATAATTAATTTATTTGATTCTCTGATTTGGGTCATAGTAGAGAGGACTTGCTCGTGGGGTTGACCCACCATTGTTGTTATTTCAGGATACGGTCAGTACCCGTTCCAAGGTTGAGGTTAGCAGTGAGGGACCACCATTCGAACTCATCTACTCTTACGATCCAGTTCAGGGTAGAAGTTTTATGTATTACTTCAGTTTCAGTTTTTATTTACTTTTGACGTTGAACTCTCAGGGTTATATTTAGGGATCCTTGACATAGGATTTCCAAGTTGTAATGGAGTACTGTATTAAATAAAGGATGGATGGATGTTGTATTATTTAGTGTTCCTTTCCTGTCTAAATTCTTTTATTATCATCATTTTGTATTCCATGCTTGTATATTGCCAATTGTTTTTGATATCCCTCGTTTTTCATGTATAAGCCTGATCAACTTATGCGTGGAAAATGTGGGGGTGTCACATTTTACGTATAACATAAGCATGAAATATAGTTAGTACTGTTTAGGATACAAAATATGTATTGCTTGGGATGTAAAGTTTGATTATGTTGGGAAGTTACGTACAACTTATACTGACTTAAATTACAAACTATTGGGATGTTATGTACATATTGCTTGGGATGTTAAGTAGAATTATGTTGGGATATTACGTACAAATAATCTATTAGGATTATGTTGGGATGTTGCGTGCAACTTATATTGACTTAAATTACAACTTAAATTGACTTAAATTACAAATTGTTTAGGATGTTATTCAGTACACAAATAATTAAACAAAAAAATCATACCAGTCCAGATGTTGCTCTGTTCCCGTATTGCAATGTGAATTTGGAATAAAATGACTTAGTATACCAAGAAAGGGAAGTAAAAATTTATGGAAACAAATGAATGGAGAAATAGATCTGAGAAATTTATGCAAATAAAGGAATTGAGAAATAGATGTCTGATTTGTTTGTGATTCGTTTTGGAAATAAATCAAAGAAAATTATCGAAATTTGAAAGAAGAAGATAATAAGTAGAAAACGATCTCTTTCTCTCTCTCTGAAACCTTTGGGCAAATCTAAGTAACTGGCGGGATTTGGGTTGATTGATATTTTTTGTGAAAATTAACCAAAGACTCCTAACAAATAATATTTTGAAAAGAAATTAAAATCTGGGTTGCTGAAATGGCGGGATTTTAGAAAGAAATCAAAATCAATATTTTAGAAGAGAAGAAAATGACGGGATTTGGATTGTTAAAAATAAGAGAGGGTAGAAGAAATAATATTTATGAACAGTATATATATATATATAAATTATGTATAAAGTAAATAAACATTTTTACTCACCTTAGTAATTATTATTCATTAAAAAAAAAAGAGCTACTGCTAGAGCAGGGGTGATCCTGGTCCCAAGGGAAACAATCTCACCACTTGAATTAATGATTACCTTGTCACGAGCAACCAAAACTATTTCAGAAGCACCATTGTACTAGACTATGAGACTGCCATTAGGAAGCTCAAGGAACATGCCCATACGCAATTATAAAGCTCAAGCACCTTTACAATGAATTGGGACTCCTAATTCAATATGCATAATAAGATCATTCCATCATTCCATCAAACTGAAATATCTTTTTTAGTTTCTATCCGCATATTCATTATGAATCTATACGATTTTTATTTTTCCATTACTTTGTTTTTAATCGTTCTTTGAATTTTTTCTTCTTCTTAATTTCAACCATTTATTAGTTCAATTCAGTCAAGATGAGACGCAATTTTTTTGATTGAATTTTTATTTTCTCAAAAAATTTTCTATTGGATTTATATCTTCTCGAAAAATTTAGCATGTACATCATATTCTTTTACTATTTATACATTTAACTTTACCTTTTAAAAAAAAAACAAGCATCCAAAAAGTGACCTGCTACAGTGATGAAAACATTTTGACCGCTGCTACAGTGAGAAACAAAGGAAACGAGTTTCATATATTTTCTCTTTTCTTTATAAATTTGAGAAACGTTTTGGACTATGTAAAAGTAAAAACACATTTTTTTTAATTTTGTTTTGACTTTTTATAAAATAGAAATAGAAAATAAGAAATGTTTGTGCTTAGACGCACATATAAATTAATAATTTGGCCACGTAATAATTTGGCTTAAACCTAAGGTGGACGTACTCCTCAGCTCTAAACCACGAAAACCCTTGCAAAAATATCTAGGATAGTGCAGGCAATAAATTAATTTTATATGAGTCACGCGCGGCAGTAATTTAATCCCTTGGAAGGAAGAGCACCAGGCCAGCACACTTTTTTGCAATACATCTAATGGCCCTCTATGTATGATGTATGGCACATGTATGGCCATGCTAATATGATTCCAAATTATATTGACACGTATGCAGCGTAGCAAGTCGATGCACTGAGAGAGCAGCTAAAGATCTCCTTTTCCTTTTTTCTCTCTCCTCTCTCTCCACCCAAAATCTTATAATCTCCGTCTCTACAGCCAAAAAAATCTCATTTTCACAGAATTACAGTAAGATAACAACCAAAATCAAAGGCACAGAATCACAAAAATTCATCTAACAGAGCTTTGTTTAAATTCTCTGACAAGCAAACCAGGTACTTTGTTTAATTTTTATTTACATATGTACATATGTGTATGAGTCTTGTTTCGGAGGTATGCATAGGAGTCTATTGAAGGTGATGATTCATGGTAAAATTTCCCTCGATGTGTTGTTTGTTTGCTGAGAAAATGGAGGAAAGATAATCAACTCAGGGCTAAAATTACTTCAACTAGGCCTATCTTTTTTACCATTTGTCTTATTAGTTGATTTTTCATATTTTTCATAACGATGATTTATTTGATTATTTATTCTTTTACCATATTCTGGACGATCTAATGAAGGTTATAGTAATTCCATTAAACAATTTTTGTTTTAAAATTTATAGATAAATTTCTGTGAACAAACAGGTATTATATTGATGATCTGTAATTGAGTAATTGCCAATTTGGATTTTTTAGTAAAAATTTGAATTGGACTACTCTCTCTCATCTTTCGAATTTATATCTTGTTCCAGTAGACACTAGTAGATATTTTCTAGTTATAAGAACATTGAGGTTTGTTTACCTTTTATTTTCTATGTTCTTAGCAGTCGAACTATGATTTTACTATTTAAAATAAAAACTGTTATTGGTTGATAGAATTCAGACTTGGATTGTATCCAATTAAGATTTTTTCAAGCTTTTAAAATTGATTTAATTAAATTTAGTCTCTATTATTCACACACACACACACACATATATATTTAAAATTGAATTTATATTTTGCTTACCAAGTTTCATTATGTCCAGAGATTTTGCCGAACTATGGAAAGCAATCGTTACCAGAATAATTACTGAATTCAGGAAGTTTACAGCTGAGAGTTGCAAAATTTTGTTTCTGAATTTTTATCAAGTGGATGATCTTGATTCCCCTTATTTTTTTGGTCAAGGCATCTATGGTTAGTGCTTTGTTTGGACTTTAGAATGTTGAAAAAATAGTAGTTTTTGACACTTGATTGTTAACAATCAAAGTGAAAGTCTCTAGCTTCTTTTGTGGGTGCCGTTGCGCTTAATAAAAAGGCTCGCGCCGAAGATATTCGAATGGCTAGTTCGTGTGAAAGGTGGATTGATGGTCTTCAGTTTTCCTCACTTTTCTGGCCTCCACCGCAGGATGTACAGCAACGAAAGGTGTGATTAATTTCTTAAGCTGCCTTTTAAAGTTATGATTCATCATTTATGACTAATTGAACATAAGTTGCATTTCCCATTTCCTTTAAATTCCAGAAGGAAACATTGCTCGATTGTTTTATTATAAATTGTAGCTCAAGGAATAGGTTCAGGTTTCGGTGAATCAATTAGATTTTTAATCTAAAAATATTGTGGAGGGAAATTAGATTCTGCATGATACATCACATATCCCTTTAGAAACCTACAGCTTTTTCTTGGTTCGAAATGTATGAAAATCTAAATGTATAGTGTAACTTAGATTTGAATGCATCATTAGATAAGAGGTTATTCTTACACTATAGATTTGAATTCATCATTAGAAAGGGAGGTTATTTCTCATGAATGACTTAAATGTGGTCGGATTTTGACTTTGGTGCATGCCGACACCAAGTACTTGGGAAAAAGGTTTTGTTGAGTTGAGTTGCATGGAAAGATAGCGTTGCAGAAACTTGCATGTGAATTGTTAGAAATTACTTTGTGACACAATTTGCTCCCATTTGGTTTCCCGTGAGCATAAAGCTATCACACTGGTCGATGTTTTTCTAGGTACTGACACTGTGTCGTGTATGAACTAACTGAAAACCAGCAGTTTCTAGGGCAATGTAAACAGGGTAGTATTGTATTTTACAAACTAGCTAAATAATAGATTATTTTTATATGTTAGACCATGTAGTAGGGGTTGTATTTATCATTTCATCATTATCACAATCATTGCCTTTATCCCATATCATTAGTGTTGGCCATTTGAATTCTATTGTTGCATTCTTTTCTCTTACTAGTCATGTCTCCTATTATATTATATTTTTAAAGTCACTTCTTGTTACTTCATTCCTTGTTAGTTTTGATCGACCTTTTTGTCTCTACCTTCTATGCAGACTAATTTTCTGAAAGAATAAAATAGAGTAGGAATGGTATTGTCTTTTAAATTTATCTATGGCCTATTATTGGATCTAAAGGCTGTGACTATGCTAACCATGCAAACTCTAGTTCATTAAACTACTCCATTCTCATTCTCCATTTTCCATTTTAGTTTTTAACATACTTCCATCCATAATATGTTGAATTATCTTATACATATTTTTTATTTAGGAAACCCATATAAATCTTACTGGTGATCATAAATTTACACAATTTCCACAAATTTTTATTGAATTCATTAGGACATAACAAAAATTATGAAGCTTATCACTTTATGAATTTATAAGATACCACATTATTTTTTGATAAATAAAGATGTATTAGAAAGCGTTCAAAAGGGGAATGCATCCCAAAAACTACACAAAGGCCGAAGCCAAGAGGGGTCCCACTGACCCAAAGTACTCAAAAAATCAACTATCTCCTCTAAAGATTTACAATTTTTCCTCATCAACCAACAAAAAAGAAAGCTAATAATACGAAATTTCAATGCCCCAATGGAAGATTCCTCTCCATCAACCAATAAAATAATGACTTAGTGGTGTCTCCTCTCCTTTCAAAGTGAAAGGTAGAGGGTTCGAGCCTCCCTAAGAGCAATGTGGGAGTTTTTTGACAGGGAAAAAAGAAAAAAGGAAGAAATACACACATAAAAAGAGAAAAAATGAATGACCTAGACTAGAAGAACATTTTTGGTGACCTTTTCTTTAGATTTTTTTTGGTGATAATTTATTTAGAAATAATGATACAAATGTATTTTTTTGTGTAATGCTTGTACTTGAAAAACTTAAGAAAATTATGAAATAATAATTTGTGCTTAATTTGTGCTTTACATGTTAGGTGATGTAAACATTCACTTGTGTAAAATTGCTAAATAGTAGTTTCAACTTTTCATTTGTACATTTTATGGAATTCTTATGATTTATATTGTCATTAATACTACTTTCTTGTAGTTTTCACTTCGGAGTTGGAAAGTTTATAGTAACCAAATACCAACCAAAAAAGGTTATAGTAAGCATACTACAAAAAACTTTTTTTACTTTGGGCCTTGATTGTTTCTACCTTTGTAGGTGTTCTTTCCTTTGAAATAGTAGATGATGATTGATTATTATTTCTTACACTTTCACATAGGGAACTTGTGGTTCCTTTGTGAAATGTGAAGTCCTCCAACACTCGTCGAAATGAATTCAGGGGCCATTGCCTGGTGCAAGCGTGAGAATACGGGTTCAAACACTGAATGCAACACTCTTTGTGTAAATAATGTCGAAGGTTGGCTTTATATTTAGTCTACTCCTCCTAGCACCCTCGATTAGTGGAACCACATTTGAGTAATGATCATTAATGACCTTTGCTTTGTAGGGAAACCATGGCCAACATCCATTGGTGCTATCTCATAGATCTAGAAAGATATATGTGAATTAATGTATGCATATATATATATTTAGGAAAAAAAAAAGTTAGGTATATATATGTTTGGGCTAGATTAGATGGAATGTGATGCCAAGGAAAGCCGAGTCTTGTTCATTTATTTGGATATCAACCATGATAAGACTTTGTGCTTTACTTATTATACTCAGGCATTCAAAGTCCACACACATCCAATTTTCAAAGGAAATTGTTCAAGTGCCATTTCACAGGATTTTCCTTGATTGTGGTCCTTGGATATTTGTCATGTAGTTTTTTATATTTTCTTCTTTAGCTAGGTTTCTTTCCATTCAACCCAAACATGGGCGCCATCATGAGTGGATTGCCTTGCAAAGAGGTAAGCAACTAACTTGGAAACTTTTTAGGATATTCCTATTTAACTTGTTTCTTCCTCTTTGTAGGTCGATAAGACTTATGTTGGCAAATTTCGTTAATCAAAACTAGAATATTTAACTTTGGTTCTGATTTATGGTTTAGTTATATTTTAAAAGTTCGTTAGTGTTATAGTAGTTACCTCTTGGTCATGGTCAAACTTTTACCAAGGATAAAAGCATACTTTTCTACACGAAGGGTATAAAGGTAATTTGACATTCCGATGCACTCACCAAAAGTAGGGTTCATTTATTTATATATTAGGTTTCTGAGATTTCATGTTTTAATTTGGAAAATCCTATATTTGATAATTGATATGCATATAAAGTGTTTTTGGAAACTTCCTAAAGATTTTCTTATGGATAAATCTGCAGTTGAGTTCGATTAATCAAGGGTCTCTGAATGTCTATCGATCGACCTGTTAGATATCGAATGAAGTGGGTCAATATCTTTTTGGTTTGATTGATTGACCTGTTCGAATTTTTAGCTTCCTTTTCAAAATGAAACATTGAAAAACCTTACTTTCTCTACACTACCACTTTGCATATAAATACACTATTCTAGGCAAATTACACACACGTAGAACACATAGCCAAGACATAGGGAGAAAGATATAATTTTAAGTTCTAGAGTGCTTCATATTTTTCTTATTGCATTCATTAATTTGCATTGGAATTGGTGAGTGTGTTGATATCACTGATGTGGAGCTAATGTGAGAAGTTCAACACCAACATCAATCTATTCATTATATATTGTGTTGGATGACTTTGTTGGCTGGAATTGAATCAAATCGTTTGAGAAGCAGATTCTTGAGGAGGTGAAATCTGCTGACGAGCGGATGGCATGCCTGAAGATTCTAGTCGAGAGTTTGTCGGATCGATGTGTCAAGAGAAAACTAGGGGTTCTAGGACTTGGGAACTTTAACATAGTTCTAAATCTCTTTATCATAGTGTATTTAGTTTACTTGGACTGCATCCCATAGTTTCCCTCGATTGGGTCTCTGAGTCTCTCTCATAAAAATCTACGTGTCCATCTTTTATGCCTTACTTATTTATATTATTATTCATGATTGATTTGTATGATGGATTGAAAAATTTAGTGATTCAGTTACAATTTGTATTTAAAATTTTGTTATATTTGTTTAAATTTAAAGTTATTTTTTAAAAAAGCCAACAAGATCTATGGCGGTCCTTGCAAACATCATTCTTCTTTATGATATCTTCTCCTTTCTTTGTGTCGTATCCTTCTTCATTATTTTGGTCCCTACAATTTGAGAACACTACATGAATTCCACATCGCAATTCCATAGTCCAACTTTCCAAGTCTATGACCGCAGTCAAATCATATGGTGCCGTATCTTTCGGTACTGTCTCATCCATGTATCTTTCTTTACTATCCCATCCATGTTAGTTGTGGTCTTCCCTTTGCATCGACTCTTAATATCGACCACATTACCCTTCTTTCCTAGTGCAGTTGGTCTTTAGCTGAAAATGACAAAACCATCTTATTCATCTTCTCTCATTTTATATCCAACGGGTGCTACTTCAATGGTTCATCCATCTTAAAAATGAGATTGTTTTTAATTTAATCCTTTTTGCATTAACACACCATCTCAACATCTCGGTTTTGGTTTTGTTCCACAAAGCATAACTATTCTAATTACTTTTCTATATAATTTACCTTTAAATTTTAGAGGTATTAACCACCGTTTACTCTAAAAGTTTAAGCTATTAGAGAGAGTGGAACTTAATTAATTATGTCTCTGACGCGTAGGCTTAATTTTTTATATCTTGTAACATGTCCCCTCACATGTGGCTAGATTTTGGTCCCCATGTTTATCAATTATAATTATTTGGGTGAGGATAATTTGAACTTGAGACATTTTGACTCTAATACCATGTTTATTATCATTTACTCTAAAAGTTTAAGCTATTAGAGAGGGTGTAGTTTAATTATTTATATCCTCTATCAAATACAAAATTACTTTTATCCTATAACAATGTTCATCACCCAATCCAACTCAAATCAACAAAGTCTTTTTTTTTTTTTTTGTTGACTACCTGGGGCAACGATGTTAATCACCATCTACTCAAAAAGCTTAAGCTATTAGGGAGGATTTAACTTAATTATTTATATCATCTAACGAGCACCATCATATGTGTCTAGATTTTGGTCCAACACATGTATCAATTATAATTATCTAGGTGATGACGATGTTTGAATTCGCTTGTTTTGATATCATGTTACCATTTACTCTAAAAGCACAAGCTGTTAGAGAAAGCATAACTTGATTATTTATGTCATCTAATAGGCCCCTTCATGTGTCGCTAGATTTTGGCCCGACACGTATCAATTATAATTTTTTGGGGTGACGATTAGGTTTAAACACAAAACCCTTGCTTGGAATGTTCATCACCTAATCCAACTCAAATCAAGTCTTTTTTTTACTACATGGGGCAACAATGTTAATCACCATCGCACTCAAAAAGCTTAAGCTATTAGCGAGGATTTAACTTAATTATTTATATCATCTAATGAGCCCCATCATATGTGTCTAGATTTCGGTCCAACACATATTTCAAATCAGTTAGTCATCTCTCACGCGCTTTTTGCGGATGACGCCATTGTTTTTTGTGATGCTAGCCTCCTTCAGTTGAGGTATTTATGGTGTGTGTTGGCCTACTTCCAAGTTGTTTTCGGGTTGAAGATTAACATTGTGAAAAGCGAGATTCTACCAGTTGGGGAGGTGGATGATATTCAAGCCTTGGCTGATACTCTAGGGTGTGGTGTTGGCTCTCTTCCGATCTCATACTTGGGATTCCCTTTGGGAGGCTCGTCGAGGAGAGTTTCTGTGTGGGATCCGATTGTTGAGCGGTTTGAGAGGAGGCTTGCAGATTGGAAGAAGCAATACTTGTCCAAAGGGGGGAGGGTTACTCTTATGAAAAGCACACGCTCAAATCTCCCAACGTACTTTATGTTGCTCTTTCTGACGCCTAAGTTGTTCGAAGACTCGATGATATTCAGAGGAAGTTTCTGTGGGGCGGTTTAGGAGATGAGTTCAAGTACCACTTTGTTAACTGGGAGAGGGCGTGTTCCCCTCTTGGGTATTCGAAGGCTGGATGTGTTTAATAAGACGTTGTTGGGCAAGTGGTTGTGGTGGTTCGGGGGAGAGGTCCAAGCTGCGAAGGCGTGTTATAGCTTGTCATTACGGGGAGGGTGATGGAGGGTGGATTTCTAAGGAGGCTAGAACCCTAGCAGGTATGGGCTCTTGGAAACTAATCCGTAGAGGTTGGGATGAATTTTGCAAAAGTATTCGGTTTAAGGTTGGAAGCGAGAATAATGTCAGGTCTTGGGAAGATAGATGGTGTGGGATTCGGCTTTAGCTAGTAGATTTCCTCGTATTTACCAGATTGCTGTGTTTAGAGATGTTGTGGTTGCCGATTATTATCGTCTCGATAATGGGAGAGTGACTTGGGATGTGCAGTTCCGTAGATAGTTTCATGATTTGGAACTTCTGGAGGTTACAGATTTCCCAGCTTTCATTTATAGACAGGTGGTGGTTGGGGTGGGCATGGACAAGATGCTATGGGTGGGTATCCCGAGCCGAGAGGAGTGTTCGAGGGTAAGTCCTTCTACAATAGTATGTTGGAGTGTTCTGGCCCTATGTTTCCTTGGAAAGCCATTTGGAGGACGAAAGCTCCACTGAAGGTGGCATTCTTCTCGTGGACTGTTGCTTTGGGAAGCATCCTTAGTCCCTACTATTGATAACCTTAGAAAATGAAGTCGTATTGTGATTAACAGGTGTTATACGTGCAAGAAGATGGGGGAATCTGTCAACCACCTCCTTATTCATTGCTTAGTGGCTAGGGATGTTTGGGCTATCTTCTTGGTTGCGTTTGGTCTTCCATGGGTGTTCTCAGAATCCACCGACTTGTTAGAGACTTGGAAATGGTGTACAGTGGAGAGTCGAGTCAGAGATGCTTGGAGGGCCACTCCCCTTTGTATTTGGTGGGGTCTGCGGCGCGAAAGAAATAGGAGATATTTTGAAGGACAGAAGTATCCCATTTGGGCTATTAAATACAATATTACTTTATTCTTTTGGATAATTGGGTGGGATTGTAATTCAATGGATTGTCTTTTGGATTTTGTGGATAGCTTAAAGCTATAGTGTCGATTTTGGTCGGTTGTTGTCTTCTTTGGGTGCGCTCCCCTTTTGAGCGCCTTTTGAGCGCCTTTTATATAAATCTTACTTATCAAAAAAAAAAAAAAAAAAAAAAAAATTATAATTATCTAGGTGATGATGAGGTTTGAATTCAAACCCCCTTACCTGTTTTGATATCATGTTAATCACCATTTACTCTAAAAGCACTAGCTGTTAGAGAAGGCATAACTTGATTATTTATGTCATCTAACAGGCCCCTTCATGTGTGGCTAGATTTGGCCCGACACATGTATCAATTATAACATCACCCAATCCAACTCAAATCAACAGTCTTTTTTTATTTACTACCTGGGGCAATGATGTTAATCACCATCTACTTAAAAAGCTTAAGCTATTAGGGAGGATTTAAGTTAATTATTTATATCATCTAGCAAGCCCCATCATATGTGTCTATATTTCGGTCCAACACATGTATCAATTATAATTATCTAGGTGATGATGAGGTTTGAATTCAAACCCCTTGCCTGTTTTGGTATCATGTTAATCACCATTTACCCTAAAAGCACAAGCTGTTAGAGAAGGCATAGCTTGATTATTTATGTCATCTAACAGGCCCCTTCACGTGTGGCTAGATTTTGGCCCGACACATGCATCAATTATAATTTTTTTGGGTGACGATTACGTTTAAACACAACGTGTTAATCACCATATACCACCGAGACAGAGGTAGACTAGTTCTGTAGTTCTCTAAAAGCTTAAGTTGATATATTTATATCATCCAACTCGAACTATATGTTCATCACACAATATGATAGGAACACTCTTTATTTTTCCCATTTTGCTTTAATTCTGTGTTACACCATCTTTAATCTCTTCCTGTTTGTGTATAATCGAGGCTAGGTACCCAAAATATTTACCTTTTAGTGTCTCTTGATCAACATCTATCTTAACTACGTCCCCACGTGTTTCTAGTTTGAAAGTCACCATCCATATACTTAGTGGAACCACATCCTTGTCATGTTTTATGAGTCATCCATGATCATCTTTGTCATGCTTTGTGCTATCTCTTCCTTTCTTTGTATCTTATTATCATTCCAATCTGTCACACAACTGAAAAGATAAGATATGATGCATCTGTCTATCTCAACACTCATATCAATTTCTAAAAGTTAAAATGTCTTTAGTGTTGATCATGATGTTTGACTGCAACTTTATCTTAATTTGTAAAGCTATCCTATAATGGCACTGATAGTTGTTGTATATAAATTAATTGCTAATTATATGTATTTGCCTTGCATGACTGGATAATATTCTCATTAATTTTTATTGATATGACCTCTTGTTTTTAGTTTTCTACCTCCTTCGAATTCTTTCCATTATTCATTTATGTTTCTACTTTCTCATATTTAGGCTCAAATTACTGCCTACGTTGAGTATTTTGCTCAGTTCACATCGGAACAATTTCCTGATGATATAGCTGAGGTACTTCATTTTTATCATTTACATCTTAACTGGTTTTTCTTGAACTAATAATTCCATTTTTAATAATGTCTTTGTAGTCATATTTTGATTTGTTAAAGTACTTGTAATATATGTTACTAATTGATAGATACAAATTTTTGACAGCTGATACGGAACCGTTATCCATCCAAGGAAAAGCGCCTTTTTGATGATGTTTTGGGTATTGATGTTTCACCTGTGTTAAATTATTTTAATTACCACTAAAAATTATCATTTAAAAAATTTCCATTTGTTTTTGTGTTTGGGGGCAGCATAATGATCTCTTTATGTATTTTTATTGATTTCCAGCCACATTTGTTCTCCATCATCCAGAACATGGGCATGCAGTTATTTTTCCTATAATTTCCTGCATCACTGATGGTACACTGGAGTATGATCGGGGTACTCATCCATTTGCTTCTTTCATTTCCTTAGTCAGTCCAAGTGTTGAGGTATGGAAACACCTGAATGAATGATCTGGGCTACATTAAAATTCTATTCATTATTCTCCTGATGAATTTTCTCTTGTTAAACTGTGTTCAATATTTCTCTTCTAAGTTTCATGCTTATTCTTCCACAATTGAAATTCTATGATAATATATTCTAATTTTAGATAAAGCATGCAATGTGCTTTCAGAATCATATTAGAGGTTTAATAGGAACAAATTATTGGTGATTTACAGCATGAGTATTCCGAGCAGTGGGCTCTAGCTTGTGGAGAGATTCTAAGAATTTTAACCCATTACAATCGCCCAAAAGTAAAGGTTGAGCTTCAGCAAAGTGAAGCAGATAGAAGCAGTAGCGGCAGCCTGGCTACAACAAGTAAATCTACGGACACGGAATCCCGTCATTCACCTCCTGTACAACAAGAGAGGAAACCGTTAAGGCCTTTGTCCCCCTGGATTACTGATATATTGCTTGCTGCACCTCTGGGTATTAGAAGTGACTACTTCCGATGGTGAGTCTTTTAATTATTTTTTGGTCTGGTGATTTCATTCTGGTTAGAAAATTATCTACATTATTTCCTTTGTAATCCTTTATTGCGTCAATGTTGATGGGTATTGTGGAGCCTAATAGTTCTGTACACCTTAGCCCAACTTCGCTGATCCAACTTTTTTTGTGGTTTTTTGGTAATTTATGCACTCGTTATGTTGCCCTAGTGCGAGGGTATTTATTCATTATGAACTTTGTATTTGGTGTCGTTTTCTCATATGATATCCCTGCGCAACCCATGGACATAAGCCTAGTTTTGGGTGAATCACGTAAAAAATCTTTGTGTTCTTGTGTGTTTGATCTGCTTTTCTGTTTTAGTTTCGCAACAAATGTATCGCTTTGTGACTCCTTTCTTTTCTAAAACCCTCCATAGTAGGTCTCTAGGTACCCTATCAAAGGCTTTCTTCAAATCAATTGAAACCATATGGAGATCTCTCCTCTTCTCTCTGTATCTTTCTACTAGTTTCCTCAATAAGCAAATAGCCTCCATTGTTGACCTACCCGGCATGAATCCAAATTGATTCTCCGACACTTCCGTCTCTTGTCTTAGGCGTTGTTCAGCCACTCTCTCCCAAAGTTTCATAGTGTGACCCATTAAGTTAATACCACGGAAATTATTGCAACTTTGTATGCCCCCTTTATTTTTATATATAGTTACTAGAATATCCGGCATCCTCTTAGTTGTTGTAAATTCATAAGATTCATGTTCATATTGGTCCTGACAAAGTTTTACGTCGGCTTTCAAACTACCTGACTATAATTCCTTTGACATCTTAAATTTCCCAGACTATAATTATACTAAAGTTTGACTCGACACTTTCCAAAGGACTTTATATATCATCATTTCCTCCTCCTTGGAAGAAACTTGTCCTTGAGTTAAGTACTGACTGACAATTCTTTCTTCATTGCCCTTATGGGTTGGATTCGAATCTGAAATATTAGATCTATAATCAAATGCCCAAATGATGTGGCAAATCAATTCTATTGAATCAAAGTATGAAGCGTAGCACTTCTTCTACTCTCCTTCTGCCTGACAAATGCAGAAGTCTATCTCAAGAAAGGATGAGGATCTCTCTTGAACAAGAATATGATGGTACTCCTATCAGAATTAGCCAAAAAAATTACATACAAATTATTTTTCGATCAAATTCTAAATTTTGGCTGTCACTGCCACAAAACTCCTGAAAATCCGCATAATAGTCTAAATGGAGTAGGGGCATGGGCGGATTTAGTGTTGAACCCCCCCGCCCCAAACCCGATTACATATTAGAGGTGTTTATTTGTTCATTGTTTTATATTTTTGCATCTCTGAATGAGGTATTGATTTTTATTTTCTGCTGCAAAATTCATTTATGATTTTTTTAATAAGCCACTCACCTCCATTTATTTACCATAGGTTAATTTATTGTACTAAATTAAATGGAGGAAGAGGGGTGGAGTCGGTACTCCGTCTACCCCGTGGAGGCAAAGATGGTATACTAATTAAAAACCCATCCCAGAGTAGGGGCGGAGTAGGGTTTGGCCAACTCCGTCCCAAACCTGCTCCGTTGCCATCCCTAGTCGCCACTGTCAAATATCCATTGATGCTATGAGCTTGAACAGATAACAGGCAAGATCCTTTTTTTGATAAGTAATATATGACATAGAAGGCGTTCAAAAGGGAAGGGGGGGTGGAAAAAAAAAAGAAAAAAAAGAAAAAAGAAAAAAAAGGGGAATGCAGCCCAAGAAACAAAAGAAGAGCCAAATAGGGCCCCTAATCTCTAAGTATGTCCAAAAACTCAAGTATCTCCTCTAAGGATTTACAATTTCTCCCAGCAACCTAACAAAAAAGAGAGCTCAGAATAGAAAATTTAAACACCCCAATAGGAGTCTCCTCATCCTCAAAGGATCTCCTATTGTGTTCTCTCCATAAGCTCCACCAAAGGCACAAAGGAACCACTTTCCAAAAGACACGGGCTTGAGAGCCCACGAAACAACCTCGCCAAGCCTCAATCATCCCTAATGAAGTTCGAGGCATGACCCAGTGAACCCTGAACAAAGACAAAATCAAACCCTAGCTGTCCCTAGGAACCGGGCAGGGAAGCAAAAGATGATCAACCGCCTCTTCATCTGTCTGACACAGGCAACACCAGTTGACCACGATTTGTCTCCTCCTCAAATTATCACAGGTCAGAATCTTCCCCAGCACCGCCATCAAACAAATGAATGCTATGTTAAGAGGGTCTTGGTGCACCACACAGCCTTCCAAGGAAAAGCTTCCCCTGAATCTGAAAGCTTCCCAAAGAAGTAACAAACATCAAACCTTCCCCGAGGAGAAGGGGTCCATACCAAAGAATCAGCTGCCCCCACTATAACCTTCTGGCGATACAAAACAGAAAACAGCTCAAAAATGTGACCAAGCTCCCAGTCCTGGAAATGCCTTACAAAACACACATCCCAGGTCAACCTCCCACCATCAAGGTGATAGCAGTCAGCAACCCAGGCATGTCTATCCGAGTCAATCCTAAACAGCCTGGGAAAAGTACACGCTAGCGTATGATCCCCACACCAACAGTCCTCCCAAAATCGGATGAAAGTTCCCCCTCTCAGCTTGAGTCTAATGTGCTTAGAAAATCTGTCACACACCTTCCTGATGAATTTCCAAACACCCATCAAGATGATAGCAGTCAGCAACCCAGGCATGTCTATCTGAGTCAATCCTAAACAGCCTGGGAAAAGTACACGCTAGCTTACTATCCCCACACCAACAGTCCTCCCAAAATCGGATGAAAGTGCCTCCTCTCAGCTTGAGTCTAATGTGCTTAGAAAATCCGCCCCACACCTTCCTGATGAATTTCCAAACACACACCCCGCTTGGGCTCCTCGACTCAAGGGAACACCACCCACCCCTCTCCTCCCCAAGTCTCTGCTCCCCAAGTCTGCTTAATAATTGCTCTCATCCAACTTTGTTGGATTGATCTGAAGGGAGGGATTATCTCCAAAAGTCCTAATACGATATCTGCCCACCTCGTCATTGCTGGTAGAACTTGCGCTAGCCTGTGACATGTCTATACTACAAACAGAGCACTACAAATGTGGCATAGAATCTTGAAACAAAAAGATAACAGAATGAAAGGAATACAGTCGGCCTTCAAGAGCCAAAACATGCTCAAAAACACTCCAAAATAAAAAATATGCTCCATCAGCAACCCATAACACAATATCACAGCAAGTACAATTCAAAAGTATGCCCAAGAACTCCAGCTACACTTCCAAATTGAGGAAAAACACTTTAAGATGCAAATAATATGCAACAAGATCAAGGAGGAATCTAGTATGGCCTAAGCACATCCCTTAGGACTGAATCAAAAAAGAAATTCCTGGCCATACTCAGCGAAACAGCAGAGCAAAAAAGACAGACCATTTTTTCCGAGAATAATTAAAAAATGGAAAAGACTTTCAAGATAGCTTAAAAGAATTCTGGAAAATTACCATACAATTTAGATTGATGGGACTAGTCAATCCATGTTGGTTTCAACTTGAACCGACCATACAGATGCTGACACAATCATGCCGTCATCTTATGGAGGATGATGTCAAAGCACCTCTGTTGTTTCTGGCATTCTCTAGAGTATTTTAATGACGTTAGGACTTTGAACAAGTTGGAATGCAATATTTATGAAACTAAGGTTAAAGAAAAGAGAGAGAGAGAGAGAGAGAGAGAGATAATATGAAGAAGGGTTTGAATAATGATACACGTAGTCTTCTCTACACTTGTGTATTTTTATATTATTGGCTGAGTAAATAATTATAGAAAAAGTCTCTCTCTCTAATACTTCGTTGCAAATATTCTAAGATATAATATTCTGAATATTCTAACAGTTCTATACATTATTTTCTCTAACACAACACACAAGCACACTGTCATTTAGGGTTAAGCTTTTACTCTGATTACATGGACGTGTGTCTTTTAACCCCTTCCTTCTATTCTCTTCTTAACATCCCGTTTTCATTTTTATTATTAATAAAGCTAAAGTCACTACTTTAGTGTGACTTTATTTATTTATTATTATTGTGATATTGTGGCCTGAATTTGGTACCGGTCGTGTTGCGACCTGCTTATGACTCGACAATTCGTTGGATGAGCTTTATGTGGCCCAGGTGCACCAAAGATTTGGGGGTTCAGGGGCTTGCCCCTGAGGAAATTTTTTTAACTTGTTTTTTGTTCATGGGTTGTGGACCCTAATTAGTCTCTTGTAGCCCGATATATAAGGGCGCTTAGGGTTTGGAGTGGTGGATGAGAGAGACTCTGATATTCGTAAAGAAACAGAGTGAGGGGCTGAAAACTTGTAATCTCCGATTTTACACACAGTGAAAACTTTCGCCGAATCCCAACCGTGGACGTAGGCTGTTGCCGAACCACGTATAAATCTGTGTTGTTTGTGTGGCGTGTTTACTTTTCTGTTGTGATTCTTGGTTCAACTTGGGTTCGTTGCGTTTGTCATAACAATTATTATTTATTTATTTATTTATTTATTTATATTTTTCTATGGGAGGTGGAGATGCCACTGCATAAAATTTTCATTCGTTAATTTAGTGTAATTTTGGTTTTTGTTGCATGTTGACCATTCTGACGGTTTATGGTCTTTCTAGAATAGAAAGTAGTCTTATTTAATACCTTCCATATGGGATAGAAAACGTGCCCCATAATTAATTATAGGCAATATTCTTTATTTCTTTAGTAAATTGTTTTAACTATTTGGTCTTACGAGCCTTTATTCTGAAGCTCATGTACTTCTCATTCATTTAAAGGTGTGGTGGTGTTATGGGAAGATATACGGCTGGAGAACTCAAGCCCCCTTCAACTGGTAAGTGGAGTTTGGTTCAATGCTTTTAGTTATTTGAATTGCTTAATTTGGTTTAAGTTTTAGAATTAGAAATGCTGTGTATTCTGCTGAGAAAGATTTTGTATGAGAATAGATGAGCTGATATGCATATGGCTACATGATCAAGTTCTGTGACTGAATACTTGTGTCTTACAACTAAAACTACATTAGTAAAGTCTTTTACCCGACACGTGCAATTATATTCTATACCCTTAAGGTGTAACATTGCACAGATCCTCCAATATTCTCAAACTTGTTAGCATGCTTGGTGGTTGAAGAGAGAGGTTGCAATGACGGGCTTATCTCTTCATCTGTTTTATGTAGCGTTGCTTTATTTTTAACAATCGCTGTTGAGGGTTGTGAGGGTAAAATACAGTATAAAGGAGAGTGCTGAAAGTGTTTAAATTGTAGTTTGGGCTGGGACTGGGAGTAGGTGCCAGAATCAGTTAGGGTTTTTAATAAGACAAACAACTACAGGGTGGAGTTGGCGGCAGACTTTGCTGGTTCATGTTGTGTTGCTTGTTGGTAATGAAATTCTTCATTGAAATTTCTTTTGGTGTATTTGGCGAGGCAGAGCAATCTAGAATCCTTTGTCAGGACATCCTCTGGGAGGGGAAATATTGTGGTGTTGAATCACTTTTTTTGATATCCTATGGGCCTCTGCTCTCTTGAAGGAAAGCCTTCAAATTATTAAGGGATCCAAAAGAATGGATCTCTTATTGGAAGTCTATCAAAGAGGCCCTTATTTAATGTAATGTTCTCATCAGTTTGGGGAAACAAATTTTCAATGGAAATTACAGGGACTACTTGAGATCATAGTGGGGATGCTATCTTGGCTTTTTGCAGACCAGCTGGCATTAATCATACTATTAAGGTTGATATTTTTTCTCTACGATAGACCTTAGAGGTGTATTCTTGTGGGGTTTCTTCATTGCACAGTCAATGGGAATTTAATGTGGCTAGAGCTGGTGGCTCTGAAATCATTTGGCTTGTGAGAATGGCCACTGGTTGAGATGAATTATGGATTTGTCATCCAATTTAAATATGTATACCGTTGGGTTTCTTGATTAGCTAATTAAGAGGCTGACTTCTCTGCTAGAGAGGGGTGATCACTTGATCTTTGATCTTCTTATGAGGTCATTTTTACCTGCCTTGAGTTTGATAGATACGGTGGCTTCCTTCCATTTGTTATTATGTGGTTGGTGGAGCTTTCTATCATATGTGTTTTCTTGTGTTATTGGTCTTATTTGTACAAAATAATTTCCCCTTTTTAAACCATGTAATTCTTTCTTTGGTTCTAAATTAATTTTTGGTTTCTTATATATATAAAAAAAAAAAAAAAATCAAAGATTCTATGAGTTTTGAAAAATCTGTTATTCTGAATATAATGGAATTGTGGGAAAGCAATAATTTAATTTATCAAGTTACATTGCTGGTATAAACATTTACATTTTTTTCCCCATAAACTTGTTAAATATAGTATTTATCTATCTTCTTACTAAAGAGAACATCTACGGTAAGCCGAAATTGCTGCCATAATGTAATTTTTGGTGCAATTAAATTATTTATAGCCGCAGAATTAGAACTAATAAATTTGCATTCTTTCTTTGATATGGGATAGATAGCAAACGAGTAATGCAATGTACAAGTTTCAATCTCTTGTGCATGTAGAGATGAAGGTTGGATCATTTTACACCAAAATGCTTTTTTTTTTTTTGTTTCCTCCGAGTCTTGAAACCTTGACCTAGGACTTGAGAGTTAAGACTCGAAGCTACTAGGACAAAGGTAGACTAGTGAAACTTGGGTTGAATTTATATTGTTGTGCTTTGCTGGAGTTAGATTATAGCCTGATTTAAAACTCGGGTCAAGGATGTGGCCTGATTTAAAACTTGGGTCAAGGAAGACTGATTTAGGTTGAATAAAGTTTAATTTTCGGAGTCTCATTTACTTTAGTTTATTATTATTTTATATGGTGCTTTAATTTAGGAGTTGTATAGTTCTTCGTCATAGTAAATTTTTTGTTTTTGGTAAGTCTTCGTCATAGTAATTACTTGGTAGTAAAACCTTGGACTCCCAAGCATGAGAATGCAGGTTCGAGTATGAGCACAACCACCATTTGTGCATATAATGCTAAAATTTAGGTTTTGCCAATTTGCACTCTTGCAGCACCCTCCTGAAGCAAATTGTTAACCTGCATATGAGAGAGAGAGAGAGAGCTAATCGAAGAGTTAGCACGGACTTTGTTTGGGTCTAACTTTCTATCCTATTATTACTACTAAATATTAACTACCCCTCAATACAAATATTGTTACTAGTACTCCCCCTCAACCTGGAGCACCGATATCTGTTATGTTCAATTTGTTATATGACTAAGAAAAATGACTTTTCCCTAAAGCTTTAATAAACTTGTCATCTGCTTGATTGTCCAACTTAACAGATGTCTTTCTTTTGTTGAAGAATTTCAATATTAAAGTTGCAGCCTCTTTAACAGATTAAGCTTTTGGAGTAGATGGCTGTTAACATGGTATTAGAGCCAAAGGTCTCGAATTCGAATCCCACCATCACCCAATTGAAAATTAAAATTCAAAACGTGTGTTGGACCAAAGAAGGCCACACTTGTGGGGGCGTGTTGAATAATTTAAATATTAAAGTTGCACCCTCTTTACTAGCTTAAGCCTTTGGAGTAGATGGTGGTTAACATCTTTATTTCCATATCTCTATTAAAATTACATGGTTAACATCTTTATTTCCATATCTCTATTAAAATTACAATCTACCTCTTTATGTTTGGTTCTCAAAGACCGGACTATAAGGAATACATGTAGCATCTTGTTTGTTTGAAAACATTATCATAGGTTTGTCACTAGTGAATCCAATCTCATGCAAAGATAATTAAATCCAGATAGCGGCTTTAGACCTGTATTTTGTGCTTCAGCGTTTTGACTTTGCTACTTCCTTGAAAATGATCTTTATTTGTCTCATCCGTCATCACTGATCCAATCTATAACAGAGTAACCCACAACGACGGTAGAATTGGAAGGCCTAATATTAGACCTCTTCCTGGAGTGCCATTGAGATTCTTCAAGATACGATAACTGTTCCATTTTAATGTTGGCATGGATTTTTGCATGAATTAACTAACAACTTCAACTACAAATGTAAAATCACGATAGTTATGGTTAGATATGTTAGCTTCCCAACCAATTGTTCAAATTGATCGGGATCGTTTAATAACAAACCAACATTTCTCACAAATTTTACATATGAGATCATAGGGGTTTCATTGGGTGAAGGAGAATATTAGTGTGGCAAGCGAGTGAGAGGGGGTAAAGGGAGGAGTAAGGGGGTGGGGAAGGACATTGTTTCCCTATGAAGCTATAAATCATCTCTTGGAATGTTTGCTGTCTCAAGGACTTGACCAAAAGGAAGGTGGGGAATTTGACGGTGAAGAAGTGGGTGGCTCATGTGGTTTGTTTGCAGGAATCTAAGGTTGCTTGGACAACGGATAGGGTGGTGAGGAGTCTTCCGGGAGGGAGGTTCGTTAAGTGGGAGGCGTTGTATCCGGGGGACCTCTGGGGGTATCCTCGTTATGTGGGATAGGAGATGGGTTTCGAGGGTGGATGTTTGGAGAGGGAGGTTCTCTATTTTTTGTGTTTTCGTGACAGAGGAGGATGACTTTAGGTGGGCTTTCTCCGGGGCTTATAGGCCGGTGGATGATGGGGACATGATTCTTCTTTGGGAGGAGCTTAGTCTTGTGAAGGGGATATGATCTCTTCCATGGTGTGTTGGGTTTTTTTATTTATTTTTTTGCGCGCGGGGGGGTGGGGGGGATGGTTTAATGTGGTTAGATTCCTGTTGACACAATTCTCAAAGTTTATTGATGGCCATCGTCTTGTTGATTTACCGTTGGAGGGTGCGACCTTCACATGGTCCAGTGGTAAGGCATCCACCCCTCTATCTCGGTTGGATAGATTCTTGGTTTTTGGGGATTAGGAGGAGAGATACCCAGATGTTATCCAGGCGGTGTTGATGAGGGTGACCTTTGATCATTTTCTCTTGGTTCTGGATTGTGGTGGGGTGAGATCTCGGAGTACTCCTTTCAGATTTGAGAACACATGGCTTAGAGCGAATAACATCCATGAGAGAGTTAGGTCCTGGTGGGAGGAGGCTTCGGTGTTTGGCACTTTGAGTTTTGTTTTAGCTGGGAAGCTTCGGTTGTTGAAGATTGAGCTTAAGAGATGGGAACAAGGAGGATTTAGGGAATTTAGAATGGAGGAAAAACAGGGCTCTTTCTGAGATTGCAGATATTGATAGGCTAGAAGGGTTGGGTGGTATTGATGACGCTCAGAGTATTTGGAGGGCAGAGTGTCACACGGATATTGCTAAGATTGCTACTCTGGAGGAGATTTCGTTGTGTTAGAAATCTAGGGCTTTATGGCTTAAGGAGGGTAATTGAAATACGAGGTTCTTTCATAGGGGGTAATCATATTGGGAAAATCCGTATTGATGGGGTGGAGTTGCGTAGGGGGGAGGATGTGTGCAGGGGGATTGCTTGGTACTACCAGAGACTTTACTCTGGGAAGGCTCATTACTTCAACTAGTCCCCATGTTCCTCGAATGGATCTCTTAGTTTAAGACATTCAGATGGAGACCCCGGCTGGAAAGTAAATGTGGGGAAGGGCACTTTAGTTCCTATGGGGGAGATTTGTGACGTTGCTTCTCTTTCATTGGTGCTTGGGTGTGGGGTTAGCTCCTCTCCTATTTCTTATTTACTTATTTAGGGCTGCCATTGGGTTCTTTGTCGAGGATGGCGAGGGGTTGGGATACCGTGATTGAGAGGTTTGAGAGAAAGATTGGCCGGGTGAAAGAAGCAGTATCTTTTGAAGGGTGGGAAGGTCACCTTTATGAAGAGCGTGTTGTTGAGTCTTCCTCCATACTTTCTTTCTCTTTTTCAGATCCCGTTCTCTATGGGTGAGAGGATGCAGCGGGATTTTCTATGGGGCGGCTTGGGGGAGGAGTTTAAGTACCATCTTGTTCGTTGGGAGGTGTGCAGACCGTTTCATCTGGGTGGGTTGGGCGTTAGGAGGCTGCTTCCATTCAAGAGGGCCCTCCATAGCAAGTGGTAATGGAGATTTGGAGGTGAGCGTCATCGATTGTGGAGGAGGGTTATTTCGTGTCACCATGGGGAGGAGAGAGGAGGATGGTGTTCTCGTGTGTGTACATCTGTCGAAGGAGTCGGTATTTGGAAATTAATTTGGAATGGTTGGGATGAATTTTCAAAACACATTAGATATAAAGTTCGGGATGGTACGGGTACTCGATTTTGGAGGACTTATGGTGTGGTAATCGTTCTTTGACTTGTCTTTTTCTTAGGCTTTTCAAGATTGCCGTTGATAGACATGTCTTGGTTGCCGACTGATAGCGGTGGGTTTTCTTGGGATGTGCGCTTTCATTGAAATTTTCAAGACTGGGAACTAGATGACATTTTTGGGTTACTGGATCTATTGTATAGACAGGAGGTGGATTGTGGAGGTTCTGACTCCCTTTTCTGGGTGTCCTCTCCCCAGGGTAGATTTGATGTACGCTCTGCGTTTTGTTGCCTTTCCGGATTCTCAAGGGTTGATTTTCCTTGGAAGACGGTTTGGCACTCGAAGGCTCCCTTCAAAGTGGCCCTTTTCATTTGGACCGCAGTTTGGTCTAAGATTTTGACGCTTGATAACTTGAGAAGGAGAAGACAGGTTACTGTCAATTGGTGTTGCATGTGTAAGAAGGATGGTGAGTCGGTGGATCATCTCATTTTGTGTTGCCTTGTGGCTCATGAATGTTGGAGTCTTATTTTTTGCTTGTTTGGCGTTCAGTGGGTAATGCCACAGTCTTCGAGAGGATTGATTGACGTTTGATGAGGTGGTTCTGTTGGATCCCATACCCGTGATGGTTGGAGGATGCACCTTTTTGCGTTTGGTGGTGCGTTTGGAAGGAGTGGAATAGAAGATCTTTTAATGGGGAGGAATCTTCCATTGGGGTTCTGAAATTTAGTATTATTAGTTTTCTTTGTTGGGCGAAGGGGACATATTGTAATTCGATAGAGGAGATGGTTGACTTTTTGGGTTCCTTGGGTTTGTAGGACCTTTTCTTTGGGGCTCCGGCCTTTGTGTTGTCTATGGGATGCGTTCCTCTTTTGAATGCTCTCTAATACATTTTTACTTATAAAAAAAGAAAAAAAAAAATTTTCTTTGAGAAAGCTATATTCCCTGAACAGGTCTACAAAATTTGATACCCAAAGTTTGCCTCAACTTACTAAGGTCCTTTGTACAAAATTATGGCTCAAGTGAACCTTAAGACCATGAATTTCTTTAGCATTTTTCACAATAATTATGATATCATCAACATACAATAGCAGTTTGGCTAATAAACTTGGCATAATCACAGTACATTGTGACCCATACTTAGCCACTACAAAACTGAATTTATCAAACTATGCTCTGGATAATGTTTAAGCCCATAAACAGCTTTTCAGTCTACATATCTTCTGTGACTCCTCTTGGGCAACAAAGTCGGGAGTTTTCTTCATGTATACCTTCACTTAGGAATCTTTATGAAGAAAATCATTTTTGATATCAAGTTGGTGAAGAGGCACAAGCAGAACCCAGTTATGATCTAACACTCTAATGGAAAGCAGACCTAGAGGAGGGATGGATAGGTGTTTCAACCTCCTTTTACTTTTTTTATTACCAAACAAATATAAATGGCCATTTTCATTTATGTGAGCAATTTTGCATTTTGGCAATCAAACCACACAAAAAGCAGGGACAAAAATCAAAAGGGGCACCGGATTCTTTTATTTGAAAAACCTAAACATGATAAACAGGAAATTAATCGACTAAGGCCAAGAAATGTACTTCTACACCAACAAGTCCTATCCCAATATATTTGGAATCACCCACATGTGATTTGTCTCCAATATACAAAATCTTCAGCTAGCCCAGATCCTAGTCATTTGAAATCACTAGCACACTTCCCACATCAACGGGATCACCGTCTGGTGATCCAGTGTTTTCCTTTAGTGTATGGGCTAGAATATTCTTATCCTTGCTTCTACTGTTTATTCTGTTATATATGTTGATTGCACCTTATGCTCAACAATCAACTTAATCTACTCAATTTATTGCTGATGGTTCTTCTACCTTTTCAGTCTGTTATAGGCTATGACCACAAGCAGGTAGTGGAATAATTTTCAATCTTTATTAAATAAAATATTCTGCGTGCTGTTTATTTATACAGTTCTGTCTATTCTTCCAGCGTGATGCTTCTCAAATTTGAATGCTGGTCACATTAAACATGATCCATTCATAATTCAATTTTTTTTCTTTTATTATCTGTTTGATTTATTTCTATATAAAAATAGATTTTAACTCTGAAGTTCTTCCTCTATCAATGAATGCCTCATTGAATGTTCTTAATGCAAAAGTGATAAGGATTTTTACATTTTGAAGCAAGGATAACTTTTGATTTACTTCATTTTATTAGCTTCTTCTCGTGGATCTGGAAAGCATCCCCAGCTCGTGCCATCAACTCCACGGTGGGCTGTTGCTAATGGTGCTGGTGTTATCTTAAGCGTTTGTGACGAGGAGGTTGCTCGCTATGAGACAGCAACTTTAACTGCAGCTGCTGTTCCTGCGCTTCTGCTTCCTCCCCCAACAACACCTATGGATGAGCATCTTGTTGCAGGGCTACCAGCTCTTGAGCCGTATGCACGTTTATTTCATCGGTAAATTTCTAGACCTCACTGTCTTTTCCTGAAATTTGTTAAATATACCACTCAAATATGTCTATATTTGGGCTTAGGTATTATGCAATTGCTAGCCCAAGTGCCACACAAAGACTTCTTCTTGGACTTCTAGAAGCACCTCCATCATGGGCTCCAGATGCACTAGATGCTGCTGTGCAACTTGTGGAACTCCTAAGAGCAGCTGAAGATTATGCATCTGGCATGAGGGTAAGTTGAATCATCTCAATTCCAACCATCTAAATATGGTAGGATTTGATGTTGGTGGTCAGTATCATACTAAATTTGTAATTAGAAGCATCTAAAGTCTTGAAGAAAATAGTTAAATGCTAATTGGTTCATAGGTGACACTCTTATGCCCATGGAAAGTCATTTCAAAAGGATAGTCGTAGTCTATTATTTCTCTCCTCTTATTACATACATAATTGGTGATGGATCCAAAATTCATATTTGAGATGATTTGTTTGACCTTGCTTGTTATGATTTATTACCTTACTATCTAGAATCTCCAGTCTCCATAGGCTCCAATATAATTTAAGTATTTTGATTCTTTCTCTTGAAACTTGGACTTGTTTAGAAATTCAAATGAGAAAGGAAAAGTGACAGTCCTTGTCCTTTTGCTTAAAAAAGGTTCGCAATTCTATTCCCTTTGCAGATGACAGATGTTGATGCCTGGATTCTAGTTGATCTGTTTCTTCTAAATTCCTTTTCTATTAATAATTAATGACTTCTTTCTTTTCTTCCTGGTCAAATGATTCAGAAAATTAGACCTCCATACCTTAAAAATGAGAATTAAATCTTTGATTGGACTCTGAGCTCACAGTAGGGTAAATGCTAGTGAGATGCCTCAAAGTCCAAACTGAGAGGCCTTACAAAGGCTTGAGCCTTTGCATATGTATGGTGTGTAAAAGGTGCAATGGAACTTTCAAGGACTCTATTTGTTTCCTGATCACATTGTCTTTGGCGAAATTACTTGCTAACTCTGGGCTCATATTGGTTGCTCCTAGGGAAATTAGCTCTCTTCTTGGTTCTTCCATTGAAGCCTTTAGAAGGTGAAAAGCTGGCTCTAAGAAACCCCAAGGGGTTGGCTCAAATGCGTAAGAACTTGGCCCTGGTGCCTTAGGAAGCATTAAGTCTAAGGTTCGACTCCTCTTGGGTGCAAATAATCCCTTGGAGGGGGAGCGTGTGAGTATCAACTTGGAAAAAGGAAAAGCTGGCTCTAAGGGATTGTGTTATATTGGCCATTATTTGGGTTGCTTGGTGTGACAGGAACAGTAGAATCTCTGAAGACATGTATCACTCTAAAGCGAATCATTAAGGCATGGTGCATTTCTTATCTTCAATGTGGGCGTCGACTACTCAAGGTTTTCGAGAGGTGTCCATGAAAAGTTGAATTTTATAACCCAGGATTGGATCTCTTTATTCTTCTCTCTCTTGAGATTTCAGCTATTTGGACGCCTATGCCTATAAAAAGAACTAATCATAATTCTATGGGTTGCTCCCTTGGAAATCAGGCTACTCGAGTATTGACGGTCTTTTAGAAGCGAGTCAAAAAATACCAATTTTATTTTCTTTAAACCTGTTGGCTATAGGTTTGCTATTAAGGCAAAGATTGTAGCCCCTTTGGAAGGTTTTACCGCTTTGGGGAAGCTTTAGCTATGGGTGTTACTTATTGATTAGGAAGAGCTAAGAAGCATAGACACAAATACGGGGGACACAGTTATGATATGACCCGGATACACACGTCAAATTCTAAAAAAGGTAGGTAGGACACGGACATAACGTGGACACAACTAATATAAAAAAATGTTTTCATTTTCATATCTCTTGAGTAAGACAATTATAGAATTTTTATACTAAAGTTATACAAGTTAAAAGATAAAGCTATTTGATTATAAGAAAAAAAATAAATATATTGTATACAATATAACTCTCCTATCTTGTCATTATAGTTATGTTTTTGTTCATTACACAACACGTGTTTAATAGCAAATTTTTTTAAAGAACAAGAGGTTTGGCACTTTGATGTATATGTTCATAATATTCTTTCTAGGCTATCTAGTGTTCGTTTTGTATAAGACATAGTGTAAGATGTGTCGGTCAAGTGTTCGGAATGTGTTGACCAAGTGTCGGCGAAGTGTCCAAGATGTGACGGCCAAGTGTCTAAAAAATGATATAAATTATTTTAAATTTTGGAGATGGCCATGGACACGTGTCTAGGAGTGTCCGTGAAGTCTCGAGTGTTGGACACGGTGTCGGACTCGGTACCTTCGAAGAAGTGTTGATGCTTCTTAGGGAAAGAGTAACTGAGGTTGGTTAAATGATGGAGATCATGGCTTTACCCGCCCGCAATGCAAGCGTAGGAGCAAGAGGAAAGATGTTTCTGCACACTAGGGGTGCAAGTTGGGCGGGTTCAACCTGGCCCAACCTGAACCCCAGCCCGAATTTTAGACTCTGGTTGAAAGTTTTTTGTCTAGGCCCATTTCGGGTTGGGCTTGGGTTACGACATTGATAAATCGAGCCCAACCCGAAGTCGGGTTGGCTCGGGTTGAAAGTTTTTTGTCCAGACCCATTTCGGGTTGACCTTAGGTTACAACACTTCTAACCCTAGCCCAATCTGAGACCCGAATTGCATATATAATTTAAATCTCAGATTAATCCTACCCCTTAATTAGTTTGATCCTACGGTTCCTGAAAGTCTATTGATCTTTATCCTAAGAATGATGAGTTGAAGAGCCACTGCATTCCACGCCTCTATGATCTCGGTTACACGCCTCTACGATATCGCCATTGCCTCCATGGTCTCGCCATCGCCGCCTCTATGATCTCACTGTCACCGTCGTATGCCTCCATGGTTTCACTGTTGCCGCCATACGTTGCCATCGTCTCGCCGCGCCGCGCCGCTTTACATTCCCACCATCTTCTCGCCATTGATCATCTACTGTTTGACAAATAACATGATTATCTACTGGTGTTTCTTGATGATGGGTTGGAATTTTTGTTTCTTGACCCCATCAAACTTCCTTTGTTTCAAAAGCTATTGAGAGTGGGCTCCAAACATGGTGATGTGCCTGATGTTGATCAAAGATTTAAAGAGCTCAAGTCTGACTTCAAATTGTTTCCTTTTTTTTTTTTTTTTTTCTTTCTTAGTTGGTACTCACACACCCATGCCTTTACTGAGGTTTGAACCTCTGACCTCCCTTTGAGAAGTAGGGGTTTGGTACTGCTAGGCCACTGGCCTGTTGGTAAATTGTATCCTTTTTACCAACCTAAAACTTGTCAGCGTGTGTTACCTATACTCGCCTATTCAGGCCGAAGTGTCCGTGTTGACACGACATGGACAAGGACACTGAATCTGAATCGGATCCTTCATGGCATCTACCAGACATAGCTGATAGATGACGAAAATTCAAAAAATGATGTCTGGGTTGGTACTTGTGAAGGATTACGAACTTTCTTCATGTTTTATTTGTTAAATAGACTGCCATTAACGAGATCAGAAAACATACGGGTACAACAAAGGCGGTTTGGTTCAAAAGTAGCGTCTTTCGAAGGGTTGAAGAAGACTGAAGTGTAAGCGCTTCATTTGCACAATTTTTTGTAACGGCCGAGTGTGTTTTCATATTCTTGCTAATATGCCTTTAATACCCGTCAACGGTCACGATCATGCCACCTATCGATTTGGATGTAAAAATATGGGAGATTTTGGTCTTTTAACAAGGATAATGTTTTACTGCTGTAAAAGACTATCTAAGGCTATGAACAGTTCACAGCTATAATGGATAGTCTATATTGTTTTATTTAAGTAATATAGATCAATCAATCTTGAGCGATTTCTTTGACCTTTATACTTTGACTTTATAAATAAGGTAATATTATTATACAAGTTGTATGACATTTTTCTTTCTTATCTTTACAATTATATATATCCAATTTTTTTTTTTTTTTTTCCTCTGACAAAACCCAGATTTTGTTTTTCCTAAATTCCCAATTTCAGATCTTTCCACAAACTTCTTTGCATCTCTAGTTCTATAAATGAAATTTCAGATCTTCTAGTTCTATAAACGAAATTGAGTTAAGAGTCAATCAAACCGTATATCAATATTGCATTTGCATGTTTAAATGTAAAAGTACTTTACAAGAATTGAACTTAGCCAATTATCGAGATTCCTTTGATTTGCTGCATTTTATGTTATTGAGATTCCAAAGTTCTTTTGTTTATCCTGAAACAACAATAACTATAATTAATTACGACTCCTAACTTGTAAATTTATAAGTTCCAACTTATAACTTGACGCAATGGTAAGGTTGCTCCATTGTGACATGGAGGTCACAGATTCGAAGGAAGGAGACAACCTCTTCGATCTGGAGATAAGGCTGCGTACATATGACCCTTCCCAGACCCTGCAATGACAAGAGCCTCGTGCGCTGGATTTGCCATTTTTAAATGGCAGTAATTATACTTTAGTAGTACATATGACCCTTCCCAAACCCTGCAATGGCAAGAGCCTCGTGCGCTGGATTTGCCATTTTTAAATGGTAGTAATCATACTTTAGTAGTAAGTAGCACTCTAAAAGGGTTGCCATTGTTCTATTATTTTGGAGATTCAAGAAGCTAACTGGAAAATTAACATGTTGATCGTTAATTAGTAAATATTTACATAAAATAGTAAGCATAACATAAATAAGTAAAATAGTGAATACTATACTGTTGTAAAGTATAAAACGGAAGCGAAGAGATAAATAAAACAAGTAGAACACATAGATATTACGTGGTTCAGCCACTAGGGCCTACATCCACGGCACAAAGAGTCCAAAGGGCTACATCACTTTTATAGTACTCTCTCAATTCATACATAATACAATGGTGGAGGCTCCTTTATATAGGAGAAGAAATTATGAGAATGGAAAGAATTAGAAAATAGAAAACAAGGAGGATTTTTCTCCACTGATTACTCTAGTAACACCAAATCTTCAATAATAGGAAATAACATCAATTATTGAAAGATTTTCCACCACTGATTCCACCATTAAATCTTCAATACTCCCCCTTAAGTTGGAGCATGAATGCCCAACTTGCTATTGAGATGACATCATGACGAGTGACAACAAGTGTGAATGATGAAGACACAAGAGAGAGGACGAAGAATAAAGCTACCGAACACACCGATAGCCCAAACAAGTCAACAAAAAACTGCTGGAGACACGGCAAAGGCGAGGACAATGCTACCGAACACATCGGCAGCCCAAACAAGTTGATAAAAACTGCCGAAGACACGGTAAAGACGAAGACAATGCTACCGAACATACCGGCAGCCCAAACAAGTCAATAAAAACTGCCGGAGACGCGGCAAAGGCGAAGAACATTACTGTCGAACAAACTGGTAGCCCAAACAAATCACAAATAGCTCCGAAAACCTTTAGCAACATTTTAGATACCCCAAAATAGGGGTCCGAACTTAGGAAGAGAAATTAGGCTCTGATACAATGTTGTAAAGCATAAAACGGAAGTGAAGAGATAAATAAAACAAGTAGAACAAACAAATATTACGTGGTTCAGTCACTAGGGCCTACATCCACGGCACAAAGAGCCCAAAGGGCTACATTTTTCTTTTCAGACTTTAAGTTTATGGCATACTCGCCTTGGGCATTTAAACTTTCAGTATTTATGTTTACTTTTCCCTTCATTAATAATGACTTGTAAGGATAATAAGTTTCAATGTGAGATTTGTGAGCTTTTTAAACATACTAGAACCAGTTGTATTTCTCATATGCATCATGCACCTAGTATGTTTGATCTCATACATTCTGATGTGTGGGGTCCTTCTCCTGTTACTGCTTTTTCGGGGCATCGGTATCATGTCACATTCATTGATGATTATTCCCGCTGCACGTGGGTATATTTACATTAAAAGAAATCTGAAGTTTTTCCCTTGTTCACTCAATTCCTCCAAGTGATCAAAACTCAATATAAAATTGTTAGGAATATTAGGTCTGACAATGGTTGTGAATATGTTTTCAATGAGTTTTGATCTCAATTTAACCTACAGGGTATTCTTCATTAGCTTACTTGCCCAAATACCCCTGAACAGAATGGTGTGGTAAGAGCGTAAAAATTGTAAACTAATGTTAGTTGTTCGATGTCTTTTAAGTTGTATGAATGTGCCCAAGTCGTACAGTTACTTTTCTCATTAATCGTACCCCTAGTAGTGTCTTAAATTGTAAGGCCCCCTTATAAGTGTTTTAGCCTAATATTACTCTTTTTTCCATCATACCTCAGGTGTTTGGATGAACATGTTTTGTTCAGAATTGTTGCCCTTCTCATACTAAACTTGATGACAAGGCCATTAAATGTATCTTTTTAGGATACTCTTCCATGTCAAAAGGTTACTGGTGTTATGATCCCGTACATTGCCTTGACCCTGTTCCTAAGTCTCGGTATCCCACTCGGGACAACAAACCCCTTGCTCGATTTGGATTCGCTTGTAGTAGTGATCATCATATTTCGCAGTATATATCTTATGATGGTCTTTCAGGTTCTTACCGAGCCTTTCTAGGCAAACTTGATTCCATTTCCATTTTCATTCCCATAAATGTGTCTGAGGCTCTCCAGAATCCTAATTGGATGTTTGCTATGAAGGTAGAAATGGATGCTTTGCAGCATAATGAAACATAGGAGCTTGTATCTCTCCCTCCTGGTGAAAAGATTGGTTGCAAATGGGTATTCAGTGTTAAATATCTGCTGATGGCTTTATTGATCGGTATAAAGCCCGTTTGGTGGCCAAAGGGTTTACTCAGATTCCTGGTAAAGACTTTAATGATACCTTCGCTCCAGTGGCTAAATTGACCTTTGTTCGTTTTCTTGTCTCCCTCGCTACCTCTCACAATTGACCTCTTCATCAGCTTGATGTGAAGAATGCTTTCCTTAACGGTGATCTTCTTAAGACTATTTACATGGATCCTCCACCTGGTTTTTTGGGCTAAGGGGGAGTATGCTTGAAAGGTTTGTTGATTGCGGAAGTCTTTGTATGGATTAAAACAATCTCCTAGAGCTTGGTTCAGCCGCTTCAGTGATGTAATTTTATCTATGGAGTTTGTTAGATGCCATTCTGACCATACATGTTTTATCCACCATTCCTCCAATGGTTGATGTATAATTCTGCTTGTCTATGTTGATGATATCATCATTGCTGGCAATGACATTCCTGGGATTGCTCAAGTAAAGCTTCAATTGGGTAAAACTTTTGATGTGAAAGACCTTGGGTAGCTCAGATATTTCTTGGGAATTGAGGTTGCTAGAGCTAAGCAGGGTATCTCCTTATCGCAAAGGAAGTATGTATTGGATCTTCTTCGAGACACGGGTATGCTTGGGTGCAAACCTGCTTCCACTCCTATGGATCTTAATCTGAAGATCTCGTCTAAGTCCGGAGATCTCCTTTCTCATCCCTCGTAGTATTAGCACTTGGTAGGAAGATTGATTTATCTTACCAACACCCATCTTGATTTGGCTTTTGCGGTTAGTGTTGTGAGCCAGTTTATGCATGTTCCTCGTACAGCTCATATGGATGCAGTATATTATATTATTCGATAGCTTAAGTCCTGTCTTGGACTTGGATTATTCTATTCTTCTAGCAAGCAGGTTGGGCTATCCTGTTTCAGTGATTCATACTATGTTGGGTCTAAGATTGATAGACGTTCCACATCTGGCTTCTTTACTTTCTATGGAGACCATCTTATTTCCTGGAAAAGTAAGAAACAACTAGTAGTTTTGAGATCTTCAGCAAAGGTTGAGTATCGTGCCATAGCTCAGGGTACTTGTGAGTTTCTCTGGCTTCGATCTTTCTTGGAGGAGCTAGGGCTAGGTGAAAAACAGTCCTCAGACTTGTTTTGTGATAATAAGTCAGCCATCATGCTTGCTTCATATTTTGTTCTTCACGAGAGGACTAAACATATAGAGGTGGACATTCATTTTATCAGAGAGAAGGTTCGTTCGGGAATTATCAAGCCGTGCTTTGTTCGTTCCTCTAATCAGTCGGCCGATGTGTTCATCAAATCCGTTGTTCCATCTTTGCTTCATTCCTCGATTACCAAGCTGGGCTTGATTGATATCTCCACTCCAACTTGAGGGGGAGTGTTGAAATTTCTTTATTATTTTTATATTTATTTATTTTTAGCTGTTTTTAGCCTTTTATTAGGTGTTTTATGTAAGATCCCTATAATCATGGGATCATGTAGATAAGATCCCTGTAATTATGGGATCCCGTAGATAAGATCTCCATAATCATGGGATCACGTAGATTTTGGCATATTTTCTGTCTTTTTTTGATTTGGTTTCCTTCCTTTGTACCCTATTCTTGTATATAAAGCCAAAACTTCTTTTAGTACTACTGTAAACAACCATCTACTCCAAATGCTTAAGCTATTAGAGGGGGTGTAACTTAAATATATAAATCCTTCAGCACGCCCCCTCAAGTGTGGCCTTCTTTTGGTCTAACACGTGTTTTTCAATTTTTTAATCAGGGTGACGGTGAGGTTTGAACTCGAGACTTTTGGCTCTGATACTATGTAAACAACCATCTACTCCAAAAGCTTAAGTTATTAAAGGGGGTGTAACTTAAATATATAAATCCTTAAACAACTACTTATGCTCGAAGGTCTATGACAAAACTGCCTCCCACTTCATATTGTGAATGGCCCCTTCAAACTCTTTTTAAGCCTTTTTTTATTCCTCTATGTAATCAAAGTATTGTGGTGTGCAACAAAATGGTGATAACATATCCCTTGTGGCTTGTGTTGTTCTTGGACCACGTTCCCCTTTTGAACGCTTTCTAATACAATCTTACTTATCTGAAAAAAATGGTGATAACATATATCCATGATGGACTTTATTTACTATAGAATGCAACTCTTTGAGTAATAGTTGATGTTAACTTTAACCAATGAAAATTTAATGGGAGGGCCTTGATCAACTTATAAATTCAGTTTTTTCCAATACGTATGTCTTGATTTTATCTTTTAATGGTGTAGCTTCCAAGAAACTGGATGCATTTTCATTTTTTACGTGCAATTGGGACTGCAATGTCCATGAGGGCAGGCATTGCTGCAGATGCTGCAGCAGCTCTACTCTTCCGTATACTTTCACAGCCTGCATTGCTTTTTCCTCCTCTAAGACAAGTTGAAGGAGTTGAAGTTCAACATGAACCTCTAGGTGGTTACATTTCATGCTACAGAAAACAGGTACTTGGCATCAACAACAATTATTTGCATATTATTCTTTTGGTTCAATGCTTCTAGGATTTATTTATTTTTTGATAGGTAAACACACACACTAACTATTGCCTCAATGAGGATGCGAAACCGTAACCTCCCATATGGGGAAAGAAGAAAATACCACTTGGGCTTTAGCCTTGGCGGTGAATGTTTCTAGTTACTGGAGCACATCTTCAACGGTATATTTGAATTTGAGGTTCTTGAATATTAATGTTTACTAATGAAGCTTTCTTCTGCAAAACATTATTGATCAGATTGAAGTACCTGCAGCTGAAGCAACGATTGAAGCCACTGCACAAGGGATTGCGTCAATGCTTTGTGCCCATGGCCCAGAGGTTGAGTGGAGAATATGTACCATATGGGAAGCCGCTTATGGCCTGATACCATTAAGTTCCTCAGCTGTTGATCTTCCAGAAATTATAGTTGCAACCCCATTACAACCTCCCCTTTTATCGTGGAACCTATACATACCTCTTCTTAAAGTGCTGGAGTATCTTCCTCGTGGAAGTCCATCTGAAGCATGTCTCATGAAAATATTTGTTGCTACTGTTGAAGCAATTCTTCAGAGAACATTTCCACCTGATTCCTCCAGAGAACAAATCAGAAAAACAAGATATCTTTTTGGTGTTGGGTCTGCCTCCAAAAATCTTGCTGTAGCAGAGCTTCGTTCAATGGTTCACTCACTATTTTTAGAATCATGTGCCTCTGTAGATTTAGCCTCCCGCCTGCTTTTTGTTGTATTAACTGTGTGTGTCAGTCATGAAGCTCAGCCTAACGGGAACAAGAGATTAAGAGGTGAGAATAGTCGTCCCCCCGGTGAAGTCAATGAAAACACAGAAGCAGTGGATGAAAATCAGAGAGACATGGGCACTAGAAAAGCGAAAAAACAAGGTCCTGTAGCGGCATTTGATTCGTATGTTTTAGCTGCTGTTTGTGCTCTTGCATGTGAACTTCAGTTGTTCCCTCTGATTTCAAGAGGGAGTAATTATTCAGGTTCCAAAAATGTGCTGGATGTAGCCAAGCCTGCAAAAGTAAATGGATCTTGCAGTGAGTTGCAAAATGGTATTGACTATGCGGTTCGTCATACTCACAGGATATTGGCAATTCTGGAGGCACTTTTTTCTCTGAAACCATCTTCTGTTGGCACCTCATGGAGTTACAGTTCAAATGAGATAGTTGCTGCAGCTATGGTTGCGGCTCATATATCTGAATTGTTCAGACGGTCAAAGGCTTGTATGCATGCTCTATCTGTCCTGATGCGGTGCAAATGGGATAGTGAAATTCACTCCAGGTCATCTTCACTTTACAATCTTATCGATATTCACAGCAAAGCAGTTGCATCCATAGTCAACAAGGCAGAACCACTGGAAGCACATTTGATGCGTGCACCAGTTTGGAAGGATGTGCCAGTTTTTCTTGCTGGCAGGAATCAAAATCAAAGTGTAAACACTAGCTTCTTTGAATCAAAACATCCATCAGCTCAGCAGTGTGAAGCTTTGGCTGATTCAAAGCCTTTACCTAAGGGTGAGAAATCTTCACATTCAAATGAAGGAACAGGAAATAACCCGGGTAAAGGGATCACAAGCTTCCCATCAGAAGCTTCAGATTTGGCCAATTTCCTGACAATGGACAGGCATATAGGATTTAGTTGCAGTGCACAAGTTCTTCTAAGGTCTGTTTTGGCGGAGAAACACGAATTATGTTTCTCTGTTGTTTCGTTGCTCTGGTACAAGCTGATTGTGACCCCTGATACACAACCTATTGCTGAGAGCACTTCAGCCCAGCAAGGATGGAGACAGGTAATTTTCCGTATCACAGTCTCATAAATTTATAATTTTAAGTTATTTCACATAAAGAAAACAATGGTGCCGGATAGGGCGTAACATATTTTTCTTGCTTATAATGGATTTTTCTCATATGATATTTTACCAACATATCTTCAAAAAGATGAATAAAATATGTCAACATTGTTTATCCAAGGGCCATCACCTTGCAAGGGGTGTGTTGGATTCCACCACCAATGCACTTAGCCACTTGGGCTTCCTATGTCCTACTCCTGGCCCAAGCAAGGATGTAGTGTCATGGTGTATTTGGCTTGGAAAGTAAGGGTTCTGCCAGGTGGTGTCTTACTCATTCTGTGACTTGTTGTAAATAATGCCACATGACAATCTTGTTGTGCTTCATATCTTTATTTTATGGGTCAGCTTTACAGTCACGTCGAAATATGGTGCCTACATGGTGCAACCAAGGGGATCACTTTCATGAAGCTCTTGACTCTTAACATTTCAAAAATTGCCGCTCTTATTTCGGGACTTATGGTTGGTTTCCTACTTCCAGCCTCATCTGTTTTTGTCGCAAGCTTAACCCTCAACCTATCACCTGTATCATTGACGGGTAGGGCAACTCTGGTACAGATTTAGAACTAGATTGAAAGAAAGGGACGAGAATGAGAAGATGAGATGAGGCTAGAAGGAAAAGGCAGAGGAACAAATGAACGGGATGATAAGATAGAGTGAATCGATAGGCTAGACTGATTGAGGGCAGAGAACAGCAGGAATTGGGAATAAGAAGGGGGGAGAAATCCTTGAAAACACAATTTAATTCAATACTAAATCAACAACTATCCATATCTGTTACATATATGCCTATTTATAGACATAAAAAAAGCTTCCATAATAACCAAGAAAACTTAATAATTAAGTAAACACAAAATGATCACTGTCCAATACACAGAAAATATCACTGTCAAATACAAAATTTCAATGCAGCCATCCTAGTTGCCTAGCCTGGTTATAGCGTTAGGGTACCCTACCCGGACGAAAAGTGCAGAGTCCACCCTATGATCTGCATTATATGATATATTCTGTTGGTTTCGCTGTGATAACGATCCTCTGATCAACAATTTGTTAATACCTATGTGGAACATAATATCACTAACTGATAATTGTAGTAAACTTATGGACACAATAAAAAGGAGGAAAGTCAATATACAGTTTACAGAAAACTATGTGAAAAGGTTAAAAACAGAGAGAGATTGGGAACTATATGAATTTTTTTATTCAATAACTGATGGTAATGACTCAAACCCTAGGCCATCATAGAGTTAGCGCAAGGTCCGTGATTTAGAAGTAGAAGGAGTTGAATAGGTCTTGTTGGTAGTTGTAAAAGAAGATTGGGCCCATATCCTTTTTTTTTTTTTTTTTTAAGTAATAATTCATTAAAGGCACTCAAAAGGGGAGTGCTCCCGAAGGAAAAACAAGCCGCCTAACGATGACACCACAACTTTAAGATATCCACAAAACCCAAAAGACTATCAAAAGTAATTTGGTAAAATTGGCGTACTCAACTTGAGAGCCTGACTATCATTATATACAAGAGGAAAATTACAAATATTGAAAGAGAATAAAAATCAAATCAGAATAAAAATCAAATCCCTAAACAAAAGACTAAAAATTAGTCTATAATGAAGACCCAATAAATCTGTCACAATCATTTATTCAACTTATAGATATGATTACCAACACTCCCTTACGCTGGAGCAAATATGTTGACCAAGCCCAGCTTGACTATGGAAGACTGGAGAAGAGAAGGCCCAACAGACTTTGTGAACACATTTGCAGTTTGTTCTGAAGAGGGCACAAAAATAGGATTAATGATATTTGATCGAACCTTCTCTCAAATGAAGTGAATGTCTACCTCAACATGTTTCGACCTTTCATGCAAGACAGAATCGGAAGTAAGCATAATGGTTGATTTATTGTCACAAAACAGCCTTGAAGAACCTTTCTCTACAAGGCCTAACTCTCCCAAATTTGATTGAAGCCAAAGGAGCTCACAAGTACCTTGAGCCATAGCTCGGTATTCAGCTTCAACAGAGGATCTGGAGACAACAACTTTCTTATTACTCTTCCATGATATGAGATGATTACCATAGAAAGTACAGAAGCTAGAGGTAGAACGTCTATCTGTCTTACACCCAGCATAGTCTGCATCAGTAAAGCATGAGAGTCCAGAATGATTTCTTGAGGCATAGAACAGACCAAGGGCAAGGCACGACTTAAGATACCTTAAAATATTGTAGACTACATCCATATGAGCTGAGCAAGGGGCATGCATGAATTGACTAACCACACTAACAACAAATGTCAAATCGGGCCTTGTGTTAGTCAAGTAGATAAGACGACTTACCAAACGTTGGTACACGGACGGATCTGGAAGTAATTCCCCTGATTGAACAGAGAGTTTGAGATTGGGGTCTATAGGAGTGGAAGCGGGTCGATGCCTAAGCATGCTAGTATCTTGAAGAAGATCCAAAACATATTTCCTTTGAGATAAGGAAATTCCACGACGGGATCTAGCAACCTCAATTCCAAGAAAATATCGAAGGGGACCTAAGTCCTTCACATCAAAGGACTTTTGAAGATGAAGTTTTGCCTGAGCAATCCCTGAAGCATCATCACCTGTGATAATGATATCATCCACATATACTAATAACATAATGCAGTGACCATTATAGCGACATTGAATAAAGCAAGTATGGTCCGAGTGGCAGCGTACAAAGCCCATGGATAGAACAACATCGCTAAAACGACTAAACAAAGCTCTAAGAGATTGCTTTAGACCATAAAGAAATTTGAGCAACAGACAAGGAGATAAGCAGTCACATAGACGTCAACTTTGCCACGGGAGCGAAGGTAGCACCAAAGTCTTTGCCTGGAATCTGAGTAAAGCCTTTTGCCACCAACCGAGCGTTATACCGATCAATAGAACGATTGGCTAAGTACTTCACAGTAACGAATCATTTGCAGCCAACCGTTTTCTCCCTAACAGGTAAAACAACAAGTTCCCATGTATTATTACGCTGTAAAGCATCCATTTCTGTTGTCATGGCAGACACCCAATTGGGATTCTGGAGGGCCTCTGACACTGATCGAGGAATAGAAACGGTCCCAATCTTACCCAGGAAGGATTTATATGCACCTGAAAGACCATCATAGGAGACATACTGGGAAATAGGGTGGTTAGTGCTACTAGAGAAACCATATCAATTATGAGGTGACAATCATGGGTAGGATTAGGATAACGGGATGTATGCTCAGGAATGGTAGGAGCCACAGGAGGAGAGTTACCTGGACCTGGTTTTTAAGATGATTCTAGTAAAGGGAGGTTGAGTGCGATGGCAACGAGAGTAGACCTGCAAAGGCGGAGGGGAACCCTGCATGGATGGAGGAGATTCCAGGACAGTGTGATTTTCAAAGAGAGGAACAGGACGGGTAATAGGAGAGATCTCTTTCTCCTGACCACAAGAGAGAGAATCCTGTACCACAGAATTAGTACTATAAAAAGGAACAATTTCATGAAATGTCACATCAAGAGAATGATATATATGTTTGGCCACATGATCATAACAACGATAACCCTTTAACATAGCAGAATACCCTAAGAAAATACACCTAATAGATTTATCATGAAGTTTATGACGAGAAGGACTACGGTTATCAACAAAACAAGTGCAGCCGAAAACACGAGGCCGAAGGTGAAACAATGTATAATCAGACTGGAGAATATGAAGTGGGGCCTTACCACCCAAAACTTGACTGAGAGTACGATTAATCAGAAAAGCAGCTGTAAGAACAGCCATATGCCAATAGAATTTAGGCACATGCATACCACTCAGAAGATATCGGACCGCGGACATAAGATGACAATTTTTGCGTCCAACCCCACCATTTTGCTCGGGAGTGTAGGGGCAAATGAGTTGATGTAAAATCCCCTTTTTATTAAGTTTAGTCCGGAACTCATTCGAAACATATTTACGTCTATTATCAGAATGAATATTACGAACAATAGTGTTATACTTGGTTTTGATCATTTGAAGAAACTGGGTAAATAAAAGAAGCACATCAAATTTATTTTTCAATAAATAAACCCAAGTACAACGAGAATAATCATCAATAAATGTTACATAATATCGATGCCCAGAGAAAGCACTAGGGAAGGGCCCCAAACATCAGAATGAATAAGATCAAACATACTCGGAGCACGACTCATATGAGAAATATAGCTAGTTCTAGTATGTTTAGAAAGCTCACAAACTTCACATTGAAACTTGTGGTCTTTACATGCTTTATTTAACGAAGGAAACAATAAACATAGATACTGAAAGTTTATATGCCCCAAACGTGCATGCCACAGATTAAAAGTGCGAAAAGAAACATCATAAGCACTAGAAGCAGGTAGGACGGAAGCTTGAAGACCCATTCCTTGTGGTTCCCCAAAGTAGTAATGCCCATCACGCTCATAACCCCTGCCAAAAATCCTCGTCGAACAAAGGTCCCGCAACAGACAGTGATCTGGTAAGAATATAATTGCACATTGGAGGTTTTTTGCAAGCCGGCTAACAAATAAAATGTTAAAGGAAAATTTTGGTACATGAAGGACAGATGAAAGAGTAATATCAGGAGACAGACAAACATCACCCTTACTGTGAATGTAAGATGTAGAGCCATCCGCAAGATACACAGATTGGGTAACAAGTATGACATTGGAAGAAAAAAACTGATTACTCACCGGTCATGTGATCATTGGCCTCCGAATGCAGAACTCAAGTTGGCTGCTTGGCCTTCACATGAAGTGCAGTAGGAGTACCTGTAGCAATAGTGGCAATGGGAGCAGCTGAAGGAGCACTAACTCTAGAAGCAAGGGAGCCAAGCTGATCATGGATTTACCCAATTTGAGACTGAAGCTCGCTCAGTCTAGGAAATACGGTAGATCCACCAGAAGTAGTAGGAGTCTCTGC